TTTTTGCATCGAAGGAGCAACCTGGCTGCACTTCCAAGACAGGTTTGATTTTGCCTTCGTCAGTTCATGTTATATTAATACTCTTCACCATCAAAATTCAAATACATCAATTCTCTAATATTCTGTATTCATTTCCTGCCTTTCACATGCACATGAACAGTTAAAAATACCACATCTTCGGTCAGTTGTACCTTAGTCTTCAAAACTGACATCTTTGCTCATTAGTACTTTAAAGAGGTCTTTGGCATCAGATTTGCCCAATGCAATATAACATATCTTTTGATATCCTGACTGCTGCTATCATAGATGTTATTTACGGCTCTAAGTAAAATTAAAACCTTGACAACTTCATTTTTTTCCTCCATTTCTCATGATGTTGCCTATTGGTTCAGTTATGACGACGTGACAAATTCACAGCAATGGATTGATCTGCACTGACTGATATAGGGTTGTGGACAGAAAGGAAGGAATGCAGAATTTTAGTTACTCTTAGAACGTTTCTGCATATGCTGTCTTGATCCTTGGTAGATAAGTAAAACCACTTTTGCAAAATGAAATGGAGAATCAAGAAGTCAAAACATGTTGACTTTAAAGAACTGAACAGGCGATTTCATAGGGCAGCTTGGGATGACAAAGCAAAGAATTATAATGGAACATGCAGAGAGCTAGAATTGGAGAATAAAAAGAGAAGAACTCTCTGCTTTCCTCAAGCTGAAAGAACTGAAAAAGAAATTTAAGCCTCTTGTCACAATATTGAAAGATGTTATGGGCAGAAAGCATCAAAAGAAGCTGGAGGGAATACAGAGTCACTGTACCATATAGAATTGATTAACACTGAAAAATTTCAGGAAGTACCATCGGAACAGGGGCCAATGGTAATGGAAGGAGGAAGTAGAAGCTGAATGGAAGGCACTCACAAAAAATAAGGCCACAGGAATCGATAGGAAACCAATTGACTTGTTTAGATTAACAGATGCATGCACTCACCAGGAAAATTGCCAGGACAGCTGTCTGGCCATTGGAAGAGGTTCATATTTGTTCTCATGCCCAAGAAATGTGATCCAACTGAATGTAGAAATTATCAAATAATATCATTGATATCAAATACAAACAAGCAAAATACTGATGAATATAATTTAAAAATTGCTGGTACAATACATAGATAAGGAACTGCCAGAAGTTCAAGCAGGATTTAGAAGAGGCCGTGGCACCAGGGATATAATTGCTGATGTCAGATGGATACTGGCTGAAAGTAAGCAACACCAGAAGAATGTCTATTTGTGCTATATTGACTATGCAAAGGTGTTTGGCTGTGTGGATCACGACAAGTTGTGGCTAACATTGAGAAGAATGGGAATCCCAGAGCATTTGACTGTGCTCATATGCAACCTATATCTGGACCAGGAGGCTGTTGTATGAACAAAGCAGGGGAGCACTGCATGATTTCAAATTGGGAAGGTAGTGTGCCAGGGTGGTATTCTCTCTCCATTTGTATGCTGAGCAAATTATCAGAGAAGCTGGACTCTGTGAGGAGGAGTACGGCTTCAAGATCAGAGAGAGACTCTGCAGATAACACAACCTCATTCAAAGTGAGGATGACTTGAAGCACTTGTTGCAGTAGATCAAGGAATGCAGACTTAGGTATGAATTACAGATCAATGTCAGGAAAACAAAGATTCTTACTGCTAGACTGATAGGCAGCGTCATGATGGATGGAGAGGAGATTGCTACTGTTAACAGCTTCATATTGCATGGATCCACAATTAACACCTTTGGTACCAGCAGTAAAGAAATAAGGAAACATACTGTACTGGGAAAATCTACAGTTAGAGTCCTTTCCAAATTATTGAGGAGTAATGATATCAGTTTGAAGACTAAGGTACATCTGATTCACGCCATAGTCTAGCTATGCATCTGAGAGCTGGACAATGAATAAGGATGACAGAAGAAAAAAAAATTTATGCCTTTAGTTGTGGTGTTGGAGAAGAACACTGACAAGCCCAAGAACAGCCAAAAGAATGAATAGATATATCTTGGAGAGGGTGCAGCTGGAGTGCTCTTTGAACAGCCAAGAGAATGAATAGATATATCTTGGAGAGGGTGCAGCTGGAGTGCTCTTTGAAGGCAAGAATAATGAGGCTTTGCCTCACATACTTTGAACATATTGCTAGGAGGTGCTATTCCTTGGCTAAGGATATGATGTTGGGAAGGATAGAAGATTAGTGAAGCAGAGAAAGACCCTCAACCAGGTGGATTTATATGGTGACTGCTGTAAAGGGCTCTTGTGTGTTAGAAGTGTGAGAGGATGGTGCAGTACAGAGCAGGGTTCAGATATTTTGTTCACAGGGTTACTATGAGTCATGCTCGACTCAGTGGCACCTAACAACAACAGTGCAGACTAGCTCTAGGACAAGATTTCTGTAGAGTAACTTATGCATGACTTAAAGTGACTGATAGATTACTAATGATTATTATTTTCCTACATTTCTTGTATATAAAAGTGGGCTAATGGTGCAACAATGAATGAATGGAATTCCAAAATCTCTGTAGATGTTCATTGAAATGAAAAATAAACAAACTAAATTTTAAAAAAAAGTGGGCTAATGGTGAGAAGCTGAGCTGCCATCTCAAAGGCATTTGGTTTGAATTTATCAGCAGCTTCGATTCCAAAAGATGGGCAATTTCCTCCAGTGTGATTGTCTTCAAAACCTACTGAAGAGTTAGCTATGGGTTGGTTCTGACTCAACAGTATACAACAGCAACAACAACATTTTCTGTACAAAGGGAAGCAATTTGTAATTTTGCAATTTGTTGCCAGTTGCAGCTATAATATCCTTTAATGAATCTCTTTGCTTAAATTTTCAGAAACTCAGTCTTATTCCTTAACAGAAGCAATATTTTAAAAGTAGTATCTTATAATTTCAAATCTAATTGTCTTTAAAAGTTGTTGTTATGTGCCATCCAGTAACCTGTGATTCATAGTGACCCTATTATACAATAGCCCTAAAACCCACTCTATCCTGTGCCAATCTTATTGTCTCTGACGTACCAACCTCCATTACCCTAGTCATTGAATCAATCGATCTCTTCGAGGATCTTCCTCCCCAGCACTGTCCCTCCACCCTCCCAAGCATGACATCCCTCTCCAAGAACTGCTCCTTCTTGCAACATGTCCAAAGCATGTCAGATGAAGCTTCAGAATCTTTGCCTCCAAGGAGCAAGCTGGTTTAACCTTCTCCAGGACAAAACTGTTCATTCTCTTAGCAGTCCATGGTATATTCAATACTATTCTCCAACACCACGTCTCAAAGGCATCAATTCTCCTTCTACCATCCCTAGTCATTGTCCAGCTCTCTGAAGCATAGCAAGTGATGGCCCAGATCAGGCACACCTTAGTCTCCAGACTGACATCATTACTCTTCAGTACTCTGGAGAGGTCTCTGAAAGCAGACTTTCCCAAAGCAATATGTCTTTTAATTTCCTGGCTATTGGTGCTAAGAGTATTGATTGTGGAGCCACACAAATTAAAGCTGTGCACAATCTCAATCCCTTTACCATCCATCATGATGCTGCCAATCGAGCCAGTGGTAAGAATCTTTACTTTCTTAATATTCAGCTTCAATCCTATTGAAGGCGGCAGTCCTTGACCTTTTGCAGCAAGTGTTTCAGGTCCTCTTCAGTTTCAGCAAGCAGGGTTGTATCATCTGCATCAGGAAGATTGTTTATTCCTCCAATCCTGATGCCACATTTCTCCTCCTAGAGCCCCGCTGCCCAGATAATCTGTTCTGCATACAGATTGAAAAGGTATGGATATAGGGCACATCCCTAGCTTACACACTTCCCAATTTTGAACCATGCAGTGTTTCCTGGCTCTGTTCTGATGACTGACTCCTGGTCCAAGGACAGGTTTCACATAAGCATGATCAAGTGTCCTGGGATCCGCATTCTTAGAGTTAGCCACAGTTTGTTGTGGTCCACACAGTCAAATGCCTTTGCATAGTGAATGAAATATAATTAGAGTTTTTTCTAATGATATTTCTTTTAAAAATAGTTCTGTTTTTGTCAGGTAAGACATTGATTACTACGAGAAATCATAGAAGTAATAGACCTTATAAACAGAAATAACAGGACCTCAGGTCCTAGCTTATAATTAGGTATTATTTAAATTTTAATCACACCTTTTGTTTAAAGTTTAATCACAGCTTTTGTATATTGTTTGGTGGGGATACTATTAATAAGAGATATAGGGGAAAGTAGTAATTCAATGGAGTTAAAGAATTTTATAAAATTATTTTCTGATTCATTCAAGCAGCTGGACTGCATGAAGAAAAATGTGGTGTCAGGATTGGAGGAAGATTCGTCATAACCTGTGTTATGCAGATGACACAACAGAAATAAAATATACAGCTAGACTAGAAAAAGAAGCACATCTTGTTTTTCTGATGCAGAATGACTAAGAATATATTTTTTTCAAAAGGGAGAAATTCAGCGTTCTAAATAGCAAGGTTATTTTACTCTGTTGTTGATGCCTGCTGTAGAGTCAACCCTAACTCATAGCAACCTCACGCACAAGAGAAGGAAACAGATCCTGCATCATCACAAAGATGGCTCATAGATTCAATCATTGCCATTGAGACAGAACTGACTTCTAAACTGACCCTCTAGTGGGTTTTCAGCGTCTGTAAATGTCGTGGGAGGGGACTACTCATTTTTGTCCTGTGGAGCAGTTGGTGGATTTGAACTGCCTGTCCTTGGGTTGGCAGCACAACTCCTTAACTACTAGGCCACCTCAGCTTCACAAATAAGTTTTCAGTCAAACTCTAGTTGTAGTTTTGGAGTGTATTTGGAAGAACATGGTGTATTTGGAATAACAGATACGTTTTTATTCATAGAGATATAAACTAAATTTAAATGATTAATTAACAGAAAAGGAGGAATTTAAATATATTTGGAATGTAATTAGACATTATGTAAGGACAACTTAAAATAAAAACACATACCAATTACTTCATGATCAGTGTGGGTTAAATATTTTTTACATATATAAGGCAAAGTGGCATCACAATCCAGACTCTTCCAGGCATGTGGCACGAACGAGTTAAATGTCCCACAGTGGTATTCAACAAATGGCTCAAAGTTTATATCTGAAAAGAAACATATTTTTAAAATATTAGAAATAAATGCAATTCATTTTACTGAAATATAATTTTCACACCAAGGGAACATATCTTCATTTTGCCATATATGTTGTTGTTATATATATTATTTTATTTATGTTTTTACAGTCAAAGTCTTAGCATGATAATGAAAGTATTTCCCAAATATAAAAATTATCTAGTTTAAGTTGTTTTAAATAGAGCCATATTTTGCAACTTGATGTTATTTTTTGAACACCGACTGGAATTCAGACACTGACCCAAATCCTCCTGCACCATCTTGGCTTCCATTTTCTTGTCTGGAACAGCTTGCCTTATATGAATTCAGTGAGGTTTAAAATATGTTGATAAGCCACTTTCAAAATAACATGTTTTGTATATACATGGAAATCTTGAGCCTGCAGGATGGTGCTACAGATCACAGCATATCTTTTGGGGTACCTGGGCTCCAGTTCAGATAGCTGAGTGGTGTTCCGTCTGACCACTGCCAGCCAGCATTCTCATCCAGCTGATTCAGACCTATCCACACTGTCACTGCTTCACTGCTTAAGTGTTCTGAAAGGAATACAAATACAGTTTTTTTTAAAAGCCAGCATTACATTTGTTTTTATTCATGGTACTCTTAACATTTTTCACTCTTTGCCTTGATAGAACCACCTTACAACCTACACTTGAGTGAGTTTTCAGAGGGTGTAACCATGTTTCTCCAATGGAATAGTTGGTGGATTTGAACTCCCTTTTTTGAATTGCCAACATACCTTGCAAGCACTAGGCCAGGAGAGCTTAATCTTAGTCAATGACAGGAAAGTTTAAGTGCTTGAGTGGCACTCTATTGCTCCAGAATAACAGAACAAGCATGTTGAAGAATAACAAAACAACATGGTCTCACCAAGTTCAGACCCAGCCTTTTTCTAAAAGGCTCATTGACAGCAATTTTTTGTTGTGGTGGTGATCGTGGTGGTGAAGTGCCTACTACAGGCATTCACTGTTAAATTTGTATGGGTACATATTGGGAAAATAATTTTCTTTACTCTTCAATGTTTTTTAAATATTATACACGCAAAAAATAAAATGCTTATTTTTAGGAATCTGTTAAGGAAAAAATAAAGAAGATAGGACCTTGGTAAATATCTTCAAATTAAAGAAAGTATTCAAAGCAGAGCAAGAGAGGGGCTGCCAGTAGAGATCCTCCTATGTTACCCTAAAGTGAGCTTTTTAAAAGCCATTACTTAAGCATGTTCTCCAGCTGCCTTAACTGCAGGGACATGGTCTTGCAAATCATCAACAGCTGTGGGACTAGGATGAGGTGGGGGAAAGGAAAAAGGGAGGGAAGGGGAGAGAGAGAGAGAGCGCGCATGCACGTGCAAGAGCACTTCCCACACTGAGCTGTAAGATTTGAAGGAGACTGGAGTAAGACCCTGGTGAGAGCAAGACCCTGGTGCTGGTGGCGGAGAGACTGTAGCTAAGTATACCCAGAAGAGCCCTGAGATGAAGATCACACAGTTAAAGTGTTTGCTGTGCTGCTCTGAGGCAAACCTTGATGCATGATTGAGAAAACCAGAGGCTTCCTAAATTTGTGTTGCTGAACTGAAACCGGAGTCTGGACTTATTGAGGAATTGGCCCTGGGAACTGCTGGGCTAAAATCTAGATTTACAATCTTTGCATCCACCACTCTCCAACTTATTTCCCTAATAGACCTCATTCTCAGTACTACAATGCAAGTAATGTCTGTAAGTCAACAACGACTAAATGAACGTCATTTGTTGGTGTAGCTCTAAGACTGCATGGGGTTGGGCTACAGACTCTTTATCAGCTTTCTGTTCTGGGGCAGTGAGGGACTGTGATATTCTAGCTTCCTCTGGCTCTTTTAGAGAGAGGCTCACAGCTCTGTGACCCCATGTCCCATTTTCTGCTCCTTAGGCAGATCCATTGGAAGCTTTCTTGCCAAGAAGAATTAATTCAAGGAAGCAAAGTATCTAAATTGCCTCTTGCATATTTGGACAAGAAATGATGCAAATAACTTTAAGAAAGAGATTTACTGTGAAGACCATGCTCAATGAAAACAAACAGCTGTTTCTTCACCCTTGTGTGAGAGAAAGTTTAACAGCTGGCTGACTCTGTGGTCTCTGCTCCTAACCACAGTACCACAGTTCTTTATGTCCAAAATTAATTACATTTTTGCCATAAATGCTATGTATGTCCTTGTGCACAAACACGTTGGTGAAGAAAAAGAGGGTTACTGAAGTGGTGTAATTGAGGTTCTTGTTTAAAATTTTTATTTAAATGCACCTGAATTTTTTAAAATTACTCTAAAATAAATGTGCTACTTGTGCAATTGGGTCCTTTGGTGGTACAAACAGTTAATGTTTGCACAACAGAAATGTTGCTGGCTTGAGTCTTTCTTTCAGAAAGGCCTGGTGGCCTATTTCTAAAAACAAACAAACCCCAAACCAAGCATCAAAAATTCTACAAAACACAGTTCAACTCCACCACATGGGGTGTGAGCATAGACTTGATACTACTAGTTTATTGGTTTACTTACACAAAAAGATTAAGGTGGGGGAGACCCCAACCCACAAACCAGCCTCAGAAAATTAATGAAAGCTACTAATTTTGTGACACCTTCAGATACTTTCATTTATTCTGTCTGTCTATAAAGGTGAATATTTTTTTCTGTGGTTCATCTATTTCAGAATGCAATTTATTTTGAACTCGATGCAGGGGGCCAGCCTGAGAGTATAAGCCTGGCAGATTAAGGCTTTAAACTGGTAGACATATGTCCCATTTCCTTGGGAAACTCTAGATTACACTGGTGGTTTCACATATTATTAATCACAGTCTCTTTTTCAGTAAAGAGTTCCAATTTGGATGACAGACTGTATGAGCATTCAGGTTATAAAGGCTAATGTCTCTACCTAACTAGGCATTTGCTGTGATTGAACATTTCATAGAACAACAGAAAATTGGACAAACTAACTCAAGAAAAGAGCAAAAGGTGCTTAATAATGTTCAGAATCCCAAAAGCATTAAACAGAAACAACATAATACACATGGGCCCTGCTCTTTCAAATTTCTGTAGTATTAAAATGGAATCTCTTCAATATTTCTTTTCAAAAACATTTCCTAAAATGATCTAACAGTTGTTGTGATAAGGATATAATTAACACCAGGGTAAGTGACAAGTTACATTTTCAAATTAATCGAGTTAAATTTATGCTTATCTTGGACTTATTTTGAATATCCATTGTGCAACTGATTCAATAATACACATAAAATAATACTGTGTATTTCTAACAGTGTTTACATTTACAAAAACAAGCTATTTAGCCTGACAACTAAATCATGGCTGATTCTTACACTGACTGCAGTTAACAAACTCAAACGTAAGTTCTTTTGAATAGTGCTGACAGTTCAAATAATTCCTTAGACCATAGTTTTTTTTACCAGTCATTTTCTTATCAGAGTAAAATTTAAAATTTAAGCTGGTAGGAAAAACAATTAGCAAGACACCTTAGTCTGTTCTCTCCATCAGAATAAAACAGGACAAAATGCCTGCATCAGAATAAAATGCTTTATGAGTAGACTTTTGTTTTTCTAAACAATCCCAAAAGTCCAATTATGGAATTGAAGTATTTAATCAAAATCTCTAACATGTCTTTTCTTTATTAAAAAAAAAATCTTTACATCATTATGCAAACTTGGAAATCAGAACATTTAAGATCAGCAATTTAAATTTTTTAATGGTGTTTAAAATTTTATATACACCATTATGGGGTAGTAGTAATTTTGGAAATTGATATTTTATGTAGTATGACTCATGTCAGTATTACTAACAAGTTTCTCCTTTTGCATCGTGTTGAAGAAAGGGCATACATGTACTATTGAAATATTTGTTATCACTCTTCTAGAAAGTACTAAAATGTGCTTTTAAAAAGTCTTATATATGCTCTGGTTCCAGTGAATCAATTTTTTACAAACTTATAGAGAAATAATCAGGAAACTATGCACAAAGATATGGACAGAAGTTATTTATAATGGAAAAGAGAGGTCAAAATTAGAATAAAACATAATAAAAATTAGAATAAAAATTAATATTGGGAGACTGTTGTGAGTTGCCATCAAGAGAGTCCTGAACAATGATAACCCTATGCACAGAGCAGAACTGCTCCAGAACATTTTCAGATCTGTGCTGTTTCAGAAGCAGATCATCAGACCTGAGCATCTCTAAATGTGTTTGAACCACCAACCTTCTTGTTTGTAGTTGAGCATTTAACCTTTTATACCAATCAGGGAATTCAGTAAGAGAAGATAAATTTATTCTTGCCAATCTACAATACTATGTAACCATTAAAAAGGATAGTATGGATCAAAAAGAATTTTTAAAGCTGTTGCTGTTGTTAAGTGCTGTCTAGTTGATTCCAATTTATAGGGACATGTGACTGCTCTGCCCAATGGCCATAGTCTTAGTCCTGGGGACTTAATGTGTAAGTTTGCTAACTAAAAGTTTGGCTGTTCAAATCCATCAGACATATGTAATCCTGGGAACCAAATACAATGACCCAGGATTCATGTTATAATTCTGATATGACTGAACTACACTAAGAAAGCAATTTCTTTTTTTACAGAATTCTTTTAGAATTATTTCTTTCATCCATCAGTCATTTTAATTGTATTTAAATCACAATGCATCACATGCCTACTTACTCCTTATAAAATTTTCTTCCGGCTCATCCTCAATACTTAGTAAGGTGCCTCCTTGCAGCTGGCATGAAGAATGTGCCTCATTCCACGTGAGGAATGAAAGTAGGTTGAATTGGTAGCAAATGTGGGAATGAAGGTCCTTCTCCCAAACAGCATCACAGCCAACTTTTGTAGAAGCTGGAAACAAAAGTCCATTAAAAACTTTCACTGGAAACAAAAGTTCATTAAAAACTTTCACTACAGCCTTATTTTATGTTTCTAAGGCAAATTTCAACAGAATTCTTTTCAACTTGCAACCATTACTAAATCAGTGGACTCTGACCATTGTTGTAGGCACTGGGTCAGTTCATCTCACTGAGGGTCTTCCTCTCTTTCACTTACCATCTATATTTCCTAGCATGACCCAGCCTCTCATTACGGGATTTAAACGACACATTCTTTGGCAGGCCTCAACCCTTGGTCAAAAGTTCAACTGACACCCGCTTTTTTTGGGGGGGGGGGAGACAGTAACACACATCAAACATGACCCAAAAACTTCCCTTATGTAAACATGACTTTGTAGAAGTCTGCTATGTATGTTTAATGCAGACTGGAGATTAAGGCAAAAATCTGTGAATGCTATCCTACAGTGACTGCTGGGATTCTAGAGTGGAATGTTTCCATATGCTGCAGCATGCCACGCCCCATTTGGAAGGCAAAAGCTCACGTGCAATTGAGCATTGAGACTGTCCCAATGACGAACCACCTCACAAACCAAATCCACTGCCATTGAGTGGATTCCAATTCATAGTGATCCTGTGTCCTATGTCCATAGTATAACTGTATCATTTGATTTTTAAGGCTGAATATCTTTCTAGATACAAACTGTCTGTCTCATCATTAGCCTGTAGAGAAACTGGTGGATTCACTTATCTGACCTTGAAGTTAGCAGGAACACTCTTTAACCACTGTGTCACCAGATCTCCTCTTTCTTTATTAATTTTTCTCTTATGTTGGTGTGCATACAAAATCTGTACACATTGTGTTTCACACTATCGTTCCTTCACATAGTGTTTCAAAGGGTCATTTTCATTCGTTATGCTTCGTATAATTAATCACCATTGGACTATGTCCATCATTACTGTGTTGATTGCCGTTGAGTCAAGCACAACTCGTGACCCTATGAACAAAATACCCGAAGCCTCTTTACAACTATTGTCATTTCTCAAAGTTCATAGTTTCCAGAGGCAAGTTGTTTACGAAGTGGATGCCACTCCTGCTTCCAAATGTTCACCATTACCTCATCTTTTTGGATCCTTGCCAGATTTTTCTTGTTTTCTTTTTCCTCTTCATTCCACCCACCAAATTGTGTGACTCGGCAATATCCCGCTGCCCATTTTCACCCCTGTGCTCCCACCTCGTCCACACTTGAACCTCCATACACGTTTTACTAGTTGTCCTTCTGAGTTTTTAATTTATTTTATATTTGTTTGCTTACAAAGTTTGTATACATTACGTTTCACACTATTTATCATTCACACTGTGTTTCATATAATCATTCTCGTTCATTGTGTTTTCTAAAATTAATCACCATTGAACTATGCCCACGACCACCTGTCTTTTAAGGTCTCCTTCAGATCTTTCCCATTTTCTTCACCCTCCCCCTCCACCCACCAAATTGTGCAACTCTGTGATTTCACCCCTACCAATCCTTACACCTTTGCTCCCAGCCTTTACCCTTTTGGGTTTCCGTACATGTTTTACTAATTATCCTTCTATTTTTACAATAATGGTCTTATGCATTATTTGTTTTTATGAGACTGAGTTAGTTCACTCAGCATAATGCTCTCCACTCTCCCCCAAATTACATAGTAATTTTCAGAATCATTGCTCCTGAGTACTTCGTAGTATTCCATCTTGTGAATATACCATAATTTCTTAATCCATTTGATTGTAGTTGGACATTTGAACTGTTTGCATGTTTTTGTGATGTGAATAATGCTACTATGAGCATTTGTATACAAATCTGTGTGTCTTCTAATTTTCTTAGTATATATTCCTAGCAGTGGAATAGCTGGGCCATATGAGATTCCTATGTTCAGCTTTTTGAGGAAACACCAAACTGCCTCCCAGAGTGGCTGTACCATTTTACAATCCCACCAACAGTGTATGAAAGTTTCTATCTCTACACATCCTCTCCACAATATAGTGCTTTCTGTCCTGTTAAACTTTGCCACTCATTATTTTTTGGCCATCTGAATGTCTTCCTCTGGGAAAAGTCTTTTTTTTTTTTAAAGTAAAATTTTATTTTAATTGTTATTTTACAAACATTTACAGAGAAGCCATATTTTCATTCATCATTGTTGTGAAAAGTCCTTCCATGTCTTTTGCCTATTTTAAAATCAGTCTTTTTCTTGTGGAGGCCGAATATTCCTCTGTAAAGTTTGTTATGAGACAATTGTCTTAGATGGCATGGCCAAATGTTTTTTCTGAGTCAGCAGGTTCAGATTTACTTTACTAACTTAACATAAAATTATCATGATATCTGAAATACTCACATAAGAGAAACATTCTGGGAAAGAAGTGCCTACAATAATTCCATAATAAAATGGAAAGAGTTTATACACGAACAAATTACAGGCAGAATGTAGAAGCCACACACTGTATCTGAGTGCATGTAGCCTCTTTTTCATAAGTCCTACCATGAGACTCCCCTGAGAAGCTATCAGAATCGATTGCTATATGAGCAGTGCCCTGTGAAATTTCTACCAACCAGCAGAAGGCTACATAGCTCACAAATGACATTCTCAAATATATGGACATTGGATGTGGAAAGTCACTGCATTAAGACCAGCGGATGGAAAGACACTGATTGAAGAAGGCAAGACCAAGCTAGCTGAATGAACTGAACCGCATGCTATCTTCCTAACCATGATGGAAGAAGAACTGGGCAATAATGAATGCCGATTAAGTCTGGATTGTTACTGACTCATGGGAGGTGACTTGTGGCTTGACTATATATATAGTCAGGCAAAAATGGGTGATGGAAAATTGGGATATTTAGGGTACAACTATGGGGGTCATGGACTTATGGAAATCACTTTGTGAATTAAGAGGGTACATTAGAGTGGAATATGTCAATGCTCATAAAAAGAGCCCTTTCTTGGAGTAGGCAAGGAGACTAGGGGTGTGGAGAGGAGGAAATAACAGTATTTCAGGTTTTAATGGGTAGAGGGAGGGCTCAAAAGAATTACAAAACATCCATTGGGGACCTGAAAAGATGGGAAAATAGACATAGATCTATTGGTGATTAATTTTCTAAAACACAATGTAAGGAAATTTTCACATGAAATACAATGTGAGTGAAGGTGTGTGAAACACAACATACATGGATTTTGTATGCAAACCAGTATTTTTAAGAAGGCAATCAAAATCCATAGGTGGATCTCTAGGTATGTTCACTTGAGATGGCCACTGGGTCCATGAAATGAGCAGATGTGTGAATGCTATAATAATATAGAGATGAACTAAATCTAGATACATGCATCTTGCATCCCTTGAGGCACAAAATGCCAATGATGACTTCTCTGCCTACCATTAATATTGAGCTTGCACTTGACTATAAGACAGATTCCCTGGGGCATGACTCTCTGTTCATAGTTGACAAGTAGATTCTATTGGACCAAGGACACCAATAACGCTAGGTGGGTGCATATGCCTCCTCATAGGAACAGATACTTATTCCAAGTTGAGATTTGCATATATTCTGACAGATGCAATGACAGTATACCACAAGGGATTGGAGTAAAAGATACTCTGTACCAATTTTGGCCAAGTTACAGTTTATGAGAACAAAGAATACACACCTCAGCCTACAGGGTACAGAAATGGATAAAAACCATTGCATTAAATGAAAAGACTATGTTGTATACTACTCTAAAAGTAATGGTTTGTTAGAGAATTGGTAAAGGCAGTTGAAGCTGCTGTTATCTATATGGGGAGATAAAAATATGAAGGGCTGGCCCACCCACCTTCATGAGTGTGTGTTCACTTTCAATATAAAGGAGGTAAAAGGAGGATCCTCATCAGAGATTCCTATCTATGCCCCTCCAGGGGAATCTGTGGGATGCTGTAATCCCCGGATAGTTCTTTCCCACATCATCTAAAATTGCCTTGCCCTCTCCCCCACCACTGGAAGCTGTGGTCCTGCAACTAGGAATGCAGCTGTGGGTGGTGAAAGCAGGGGTGATTCCTAAGCAAGAGACTTTAAGTGTTCTCCTGAAACTATAAATCAGAATCCCCAAGATATTGGTACCTTTCCTTAATCTGGCAAAATAGAAGTTGATAGTGAATACTGCCATATTTGGTTGAAAGTA